AACCTACCTCTTTTGTATCCCTCCCCTGATTCAAAAATAAAGAAACAGGGGCTCCATACTCATAAAGTGGAGTCCATTAATATTTATTTCGACAAAATAATACCAAATAAAAGACCAATACATTTCAGGGGCTTTGAAATGTCCTCTTTATCAGGGCTAAAGAAAGTCGTTAAAAATGTAGAGTGGACTAGCTCAGTAGCAGCTGGTTGTTTTAGCATTGGCTCATTTACTTGGATTTGTACGTTACCAATAAAATAGAAATATTTGATCTCTCGCAGTATAACCCTTTTACTTCTCCTATATGTTCTGGCTCTTGTGTGGTGCATCTCTAAAGGCACTTTTGTGTATGTGAGCTGCCCACTCAGAGCACATCTCACACCATAAGATTCACAATAAATTGCAAATTTAGGCTTCACTTTGGATTCAGTTTCTCACTCGCACCCTCCAAACTGATGTTTGATTGACTGCTGGACAGTTCTTGACTTTTCTATAGTCATATATGTAGTATATTTGACAATATACTACAATATAATCTGCATCACTGAAAAAAATTCTTCTTTTCAGCACAGTATAGTGTCCTGTATTGCAAAGACGACTACAGTATATTTTTAAGTAAAGGAAGAGATGGAAGCTGTCATTGTTGATTTCCCTTTAAAAACTCTAGTGGCTAGGTTATCATGTGGACTCTCTGGCTTCAATATTTTCTCAGTCTCTGACTAGTAATGAGTAATGAGTATGTAGATCAGGAAAGCTGCAGCAAAGTCAGAAGCTTTCAATGGCATATTGCTTTGGGTACACGTGACCGCCTCTGAATGACTAGGCCCAAATACTTTCACATGAGAAAAAGGGGGCAGTAGAATTTTGGAGCATGTGTCCCAGTGAAGAATGTCTTCTTATATAAAAGAGATAAAAAAAAGGCTAATATATTAGTACTTAGAATGGGCTTTATGGTCCTACAGAAAATGCACATTCATGGTGCCCTCCTATCATTCACATTTATTTTTGCCCAACACTGTTAAACCCTGATGAGGGGAATCCCTCATAACTTCGAATGCATTGGATTTTTAATAGATACCATGAATAACAAACTATATCTGGAATTTAACACTCTTTGGTGCTCTCTTTCCATTGCTTCATACATGATAGTGAAGGTGATATCATCCCACCCAAGTCAGCACAAGTATCATCCAACATGGAGCTTACTCAAGGTGTTTTGCAGTGGCTGTGATAAGGAAGGGGTGGCAGGGGAGTGCTTTGAAGCTGAGTATAAGTGGGTGCAGAGATGGGCTTCAAAGGGGCTATGAGACTGCACTCATCCAGGGCAAGTTTCTATTTCCATCATATATGAACTCCCCATAGGTATAACCCAGCTAGTACCTGTAAAGAAAGGCATTTGGAGAAACTAAATAAGTGCTACTGGCAACAAAGACACTTGTCTTTCACTCTCTTGTTGCCCACAATTGCATTTTTTAGAGAATTGTGTATGCAAAAAATCTTCATTACATAAGTAAGCAATGTCACAACAGAAGCATCCTTTTCAGGTCAAGATATGCCACATTTTTTAGCCAACTTTACCATGTTAGCAAGAACAGAATGTTGCTTTTTACTCCTCACTCCCCTCTCCATGTAGCTTGACAAATATAGCAACAAAAATGGCTGCCATGAATAATTTACATCAGAGAGAACTGTAGATCACAGTGATACAAATTAAGTCCTTTATGAGATAATTCTGATGTGATGCACAATATCCTTTTTTATGATATAGTAAATTCATATGGGATAAGCAGATTTTCTTCAGAATTTTCCATTTTCTGTAATAAATAATTATATCATTGCGTGAAGGCATTTCCTTCACAAGCTGCTTTGTTAATTTTCCTATGACACTGTGATATGATTTATTTGTCTGGCATATTCTAACAAAGGAAAAGAAAGAAAAAAGTTTTAGTAAGCATAAAACTTAAAAGTAGAATTACTTGTATGAAAAAAACAGCTTCATGGTCAAGTTCCTATTTGGTTGCCTATAACCACCAATCAGAAACCAATTTCCTTTAGCAGTGGGATCCATTTCTTGCATGCTAAATGTGTGCACACAAACAAAGCATTAAAACAAAAAAATTAAACAAAATTGCATTTATCCAGAAATGTTCTCTTTAAGGATGAATCTGCCTCATTAATAAGAAGGTGACTGTCATAGTTTCTTTTTGATGATGTTCCACACTGTTAACACTTGGGTTTCCCAGTATGGAAGTTGGAGAACCTCAACATGACACGTTCATGACCACCTTGACCTTTGCCCCATCCCTTCATGCTTGGTTCCCACAGCTTGTGAATTTGCATGTAAAGGGAAGTGTTGCCCAGGGCCTCTGAAGATGCAAATCTATAGAGACAAGTCAACTGGCGCATTTTAAAGTTTCTCATCCAGTCATCTAATTTCCTCCCTTGTTCCTCTAGTAAGCAACTATGTATCCTGCAGTATGTATTCAATTAAATGTATTCATTCCTTGAGGTGCTTTTTAGCAGTATGCCACTGCATAATTGTGGAAGCCTTAACAAAAACATGTTCTAAATAATTCATTTTGATTTTCCGCTTCTCCCCAAGGCTTTTGGTACCTGAAAGAAATCTGTGTACAGCCCAGCACACTACATTTTCTATTGTAATTGTCAAGTGTTTAAATTCCTATTGAGAATGATATGATATCATTATTTAAAGAAACTATTATTAATGAATCTCTATTTATTTCTGGAACCTAGCAGCTGTTATAAAAATGTTTAAGCCAGAGAAGTGAATATATTTACAATTTGCTAGCCTGGCTAAAAACAGCATGCTTCTATTAAAAATGGAAGCGATTATTTTAATTTCTACGAGTTTTTATCAGACCTATTTAATGCAAATAGCAAAGGTTATGGTTAGTGTTAGGGTTCAAATGTTGGGCACAGGTTTAAATCCCAACTGAAGGTACAGGGATAGATATTTAGTCGGATAGACATTGTTCTAGCCACCTTTATATTCACAATTTTACTTCTGCTTTCATGTCATAGCAAATACGTAGCATGTCTACTTGACTTTCCAATCAAGCAGAAAGGCTCTGTCAGGAATGGACTGGCCAGCAATGGTGGGAGTCACCTGCCTTATGATCTGCAGTACCAGGGCTGGCCAGCGGGTGCTCCCAGCAATCAGAGACTCAACCTTGCAGCCAGCTAACACCTGGAACTGATTATACTGGTGTATTTAAGGGATGGCCAGACCTGCAGACTCTGCCTTGGTGTTGTTTTTCCTGGGCCCTGTATCCTGTTCCTGCTTCCTGTTTCTGTTCCTGTTCCTATTCCTGTTCCTCTCTTGTTGCTGACCCGGCCTGATCTATACCTCTGCTGACTTCTCCTGCTCTGACCCCGGCTCGTTCCTGACCATCCCTCTGCCTGACCCTCTGTACCACGCTGCCCGCTACCTGCTTACCCTGGCTTGTGACCCCGACCATTCTCCGCTTGCTCCCCCTGTACCTACCTGCCCGATTGATATTGACCCGGCCTGCCTGACGACGCTCGCATTGTTTGTACTGTTATCTGTGGGTGGTTGGTTGGGTTTGTTTGCACTGTATTATGTTTAGTATTGCACTGCGTTTATGTTTGTATGGTTAGTGTTAATAAATTACATTGTTTATAACATATCTGAAGTCTGCGTTTCCCTGCGTCAGTCACACACCTCTGGTCATACCCGGGAGCCCTGACATTACACCAAGGCCAATCCTGACCAGAAGTGGCTGCACAGGGAAGCCATCTTGGTTTGTTGATGGGAAGGATGGATCTGGATGAGGTTGCGTATTTATATCTGCTAGTGTTTGATGACAGGGAGTATGCTTATCAAACTCTGAAGGAGTATACCCGGGATGAACTGCTAGAATGTATACGGCTCGCTCATGTTCTAGTAGATCAGGGCACAGAGTTCTCTGAGGTGCAGCCATTGATTGAGGTTTGTGCTGAGTTGGTTTCATCTGGTACCCCCGAATGCAGGGATGAATTTTTGCCACCATTTAGTGCAGACCAGGTAGAGTCCCTGGTGTGGTTATTAGAGGATGATGTGGGTTACTTTCTGGAGCGTTATTCCACATGTTCACCACAGACACTAAGAGATTGTATAAACGCAGTGCAGTCTTTGGTAAGACAGGCTTTGTGTAAGCTCAGCTTTGTTCAACCCATACTGCAGACATGGACAGACTTGTTACACCCAGCCTCAGTCAGCTTACAAAAACCCAGTCCTGCTTCTAATCTATTTCCTCAAAGCTCTACTCCTGCATTCCCAACAGCTCCTCCTGCCCTGCTATCTACCGCATGTCAGTACCCTGTTCCCACTCGCTGCACCTATCCTGCCTTTAACCCTGTAAAGAAGCCCTCTGTAGCGACTGTTCCTTCCCCTGTTCCATCCTCCAGCTCTTCTCTGTCTCCAGCTGCTCCATTCATTTGCAGACCTGCGTTTACTTGCAGTGCCCCAGTAGTTAAAACCAGAAAAAAGCGAAAATTCTTTCCAACCAATACCATCCTGCCAGTATCCAAACCGGTGAGCCTACCGTCTGAGAACCTGCCTTCCGTGGTTCAGCCTGATGCCTCTCTTCAGCCTGATGCCTCTCTTCAGCCTGATGCCTCCACTCAGCCTGATGCCTCTACTCAGCCTGAAGCCTCTACTCAGCCTGAAGCCTCTACTCAGCCTGCAGCCTCTACTCAGCCTGAAGCCTCTACTCAGCCGGATGCCTCTACTCAGCCTGATGCCTCTCTTCAGCCTGATGCCTCTCCAGCCTGAGCCTCTCTTCAGCCTGATGCCTCCACTCAGCCTGATGCCTCCACTCAGCCTGATGCTCCACTCAGCCTGAAGCCTCTACTCAGCCTGAAGCCTCTACTCAGCCTGAAGCCTCTACTCAGCCTGAAGCCTCTACTCAGCCGGATGCCTCTACTCAGCCGGATGCTTCTACCCAGCATAATGAACTGATCCAGCCTGATGATCCTATTAGGCCAGTTGACTCGATGCCCGCTGTTGATCCAGATGATCCGGTACCTGATCCGGTGCCCGCTGTCGTGCCAATTGACTCAGAGCCCGCTGTCGTACCTGGTGACTTGGTGCCCACTGCCTTGCCAGATGACGCGGTGCCCGCTGGCGAGCCAAATGACCTGATGCCTGGTGACCCAGTGCCCGCTGTCATACCTGGTGACCCGATGCCCGCTGTCGAGCCAGACGATCCAATGCCAGACGACTCGGTGCCCGCAGTCTTGCCAGACGACTCGGTGCCCGCAGTCTTGCCAGATGACTCGGTGCCCGCAGTCTTGCCAGACGACTCGGTGCCCGCAGTCTTGCCAGACGACTCGGTGCCCGCTGTTCTGCCAGTTGACTCGGTGCCCGCAGTCTTGCCAGACGACTCGGTGCCCGCAGTCTTGCCAGATGACTCTGTGCCCGCAGTCTTGCCAGACGACTCGGTGCCCGCTGTTCCGCCAGTTGACTCGATGCCCGCTGTTCCGCCAGACGACTCGGTGCCCACAGTCTTGCCAGACGACTCGGTGCCCGCAGTCTTGCCAGACGACTCGGTGCCCGCAGTCTTGCCCGCTGTTCCCGCCAGCCAGACGACTCGGTGCCCGCTGTTCCGCCAGTTGACTCAATGCCCGCTGTTCCGCCAGACGACTCGGTGCCCGCAGTCTTGCCAGACGACTCGGTGCCCGCTGTTCCGCCAGACGACTCGGTGCCCGCTGTTCCGCCAGTTGACTCGATGCCCGCTGTTCCGCCAGACGACTCGGTGCCCGCAGTCTTGCCAGACGACTCGGTGCCCGCAGTCTTGCCAGACGATTCGGTGCCCGCTGTTCCGCCAGTTGACTCGGTGCCCGCAGTCTTGCTAGACGACTCGGTGCCCGCAGTCTTGCCAGACGACTCGGTGCCCGCAGTCTTGCCAGATGACTCGGTGCCCGCTGTTCTGCCAGACGACTCGGTGCCCACAGTCTTGCCAGACGACTCGGTGCCCGCAGTCTTGCCAGACGACTCGGTGCCCGCAGTCTTGCCAGACGACTCGGTGCCTGCTTTCCGCCAGACGACTTGGTGCCCGCTGTTCCGCCAGTTGACTCGATGCCCGCTGTTCCGCCAGACGACGACTCGGTGCCCGCAGTCTTGCCAGACGACTCGGTGCCCGCTGTTCCGCCAGACGACTCGGTGCCCGCTGTTCCGCCAGTTGACTCGATGCCCGCTGTTCCGCCAGACGACTCGGTGCCCGCAGTCTTGCCCAGACGACTCGGTCCCGCCCCGGTGCCCGCAGTCTTGCCAGACGACTCGGTGCCCCGCAGTTGACTCTTGCCAGCGACTCGGTGCCCGCAGTCTTGCCAGACGATCGGTGCCCACTGTTCCGCCAGTTGACTCGGTGCCCGCAGTCTTGCCAGACGACTCGGTGCCCGCAGTCTTGCCAGACGACTGCGGCTGCCCCAGTTTCCCCGCCAGTTGACTCGGTGCCCCGCAGTCTTGCCAGACGACTCGGTGCCCGCAGTCTTGCCAGACGACTCGGTGCCCGCTGTTCCGCCAGTTGACTCGATGCCCGCTGTTCCGCCAGACGACTCGGTGCCCGCAGTCTTGCCAGACGACTCGGTGCCCGCAGTCCGCCAGACGACTCGGTGTGCCCGCAGTCTTGCCAGTTGACTCGGTGCCCGCAGTCTTGCCAGACGACTCGGTGCCCGCAGTCTTGCTTGCCGCTCCGCCTGGGTGCCCCTTGAGACCTGCCCGCTCCACCTGGGGGTCCGGCGCCCGCCGCTCCGCCTGGGGGTCCGGTCGCTCCCGCCGCTCCGCTCTGGGGGGCCCGAGACCCGTCGCTCCGCCTGGGGGTCCGGCGCCCACCGCTCCGCCTGGGGGCCCGATGCCTGTTGCCCCTCCTGGGGGCCTGATGCCTGTCGCCCCTCCTGGGGGCCCGAGGCCTGTCGCCCTGCCTGGGGGCCCAAGACCTGTCGCTCCGCCTGGGGGTCCGGCGCCCGCCGCTCCGCCTGGGGGTCCGATGCCTGTCGCCCCTCCTGGGGGCCCGATGCCTGTCACCCCCGCCTGGGGGCCCGATGCCTGTCGCCCCACCTGGGGGCCCGGTGCCTGCTGCCCCGCCTGGTGGCCCGGTGTCTGCTGCTCCGCCTGGTGGCCCGGTGCCTGCTGCTCCGCCTGGTGGCCCGGTGCCTGCTGCTCCGCCTGGGGGCCCGATGCCTGTCGCCCTGCCTGGGGGCCCGTGCCTGCCGCCCCGCCTGGTGCCGGTGCCCCGCCTGGTGGCTCGGTGGCCCGCTGCCTGCTGCTCCGCCTGGTGGCCCGCTGCCTGCTGCTTCGCCTGGTCCAGCCCGGAGGTCCAGCCCGATGTCCTCTGATGCCCGATGCCTCTGCCCGGAGTCCAGCCCGATGTGCCTCTGTCCGGAGTCCCCGGAGCCCGATGTGCCTCTGCCCGGAGTCCAGCCCGATGTGCCTCTGCCCGGAGCCCGATCCTCAGCCCTCTGATGTGCCTCTGCCCGGAGTCCAGGATGTGACTCTGAGTCCCCGATGTGCCTCTGCCCGGTGTGACTCTGCCCGGTGTGCCCCCGGTGCCCCTGCCCGTGTGCTGCTGCCCGAAGTCCTGCCCGGTGTGCCAGTCTTTGATATCCCGCCAGTTACCAGACCCGGGCGGTGGAACATTTTGCCCAACTAGGACTGTTTGGAGCGTCCTGAGGCCGCTCCTTGAGGGGGGGGGTACTGTCAGGAATGGACTGGCCAGTAATGGTGGGAGTCACCTGCCTTATGATCTGCAGTACCAGGGCTGGCCAGCGGGTGCTCCCAGCAATCAGAGACTCAACCTTGCAGCCAGCTAACACCTGGAACTGATTATACTGGTGTATTTAAGGGATGGCCAGACCTGCAGACTCTGCCTTGGTGTTGTTTTTCCTGGGCCCTGTATCCTGTTCCTGCTTCCTGTTTTTGTTCCTGTTCCTATTCCTGTTCCTGTCTTGTTGCTGACCCGGCCTGATCTATACCTCTGCTGACTTCTCCTGCTCTGACCCCGGCTCGTTCCTGACCATCCCTCTGCCTGACCCTCTGTACCACGCTGCCCGCTACCTGCTTACCCTGGCTTGTGACCCCGACCATTCTCCTTTGCTCCCCCTGTACCTACCTGCCCGATTGATATTGACCCGGCCTGCCTGACGACGCTCGCATTGTTTGTACTGTTATCTGTGGGTGGTTGGTTGGGTTTGTTTGCACTGTATTATGTTTAGTATTGCACTGCGTTTATGTTTGTATTGTTAGTGTTAATAAATCGTATTGTTTATAACATATCTGAAGTCTGCGTTTCCCTGCGTCAGTCACACACCTCTGGTCATACCCGGGAGCCCTGACAGGCTCAATCGTTTGACCGTGGTGCCCAGTGCACTGGTAAGGCATATTCCCTCTCCTTTTCACCCCCCCCACCACTCAAATTGTTCATTGGGAGACTTTTACTGAGCAGGGTTGGCCATTACCCATCTAAAGTATGTCTTCACAGAGCATTAGAGTAGCCAGGAAGCATATTTGAACTAAGATCCAAAAAAAAACATTTTTGCCAATATTTTATGACATTTGCACACTAAAGTTAAAAACCATAATGAATTGGAAAACAGATTTATAAAGAGAAAAACTAGTATAAGGCTTTAGGTGCTAAGGGTTGGCCTTAGGGTAGTCTGAGTGTAAAGGTGAGGAATTAAATTGTGAGGAAACCCTAAAATATTTTTTGCATTAAAGGCTCCACATGAAAATTGTCTAATCATGTTGTTTTATCTAATATTGTTCCAGTAAACATAGAATATCTGTTGATCTTGCCCGTTAGTTTAACTTTCTTGATCTAGTGGCAATGCAATGCCAGATGATCCAGCCTCTGCTGCATTGACAATAGAGATGGGAATGCCCAGAAAAAAAACTGAAACATTGGGGAAAACACTTTTCCATTTTGTTTTTTTTTCAAAGCCATTTTTTTCTGTTTTTATCTAGAAAATTTGGAAAAAATAGAAAGAACTGTTACTTGTTAAATATGTTCTTTTACAGTGATAAGTAATATATCTATGACAAGGTATTCAAACTATATAACATAAAAACCTTAAAGAAAGATTTCTGAGACATTATGTACGGCCTTAAATTATTGAAAAGTCTCTTAGCTAAAGACAAGCAAGGCCTGGAATACAGTTCAAGTAACACTGTACTTCTCAATGCAGTTCACAAACAATATGCATTTCTGACAGTATGGGACACTGCAGGGGAAATGTTTAGTTTGCTTGTGGGCTTCATCTTGTACCTCCTACAGTTGGGTGATTGTTGGGATACAGTAGATGATCATTTCTGTCCTCCCAGGCCTTAATTGACATGTAAGAGGGTTAATTTGTCTGACAAATTAGTTTATCTTTTCTAACCTTTAAATGATTCCTGTTAGTGTTTGCCACCATCAAATAATATTGTTTACCTATAGTCTGGCCAGTAAATTGTTTTTTCTTTGCCTCCTCTCAGTAAAATAGTGAGAACAACTTCTAGAGTTTGGAAACATTTCAAAGGGCAATATCTGCTGTGAGCAAAGCTGCAAATATTGTGAGAAGAAATATTCTTTTCCAAATGCTACAAGGATGAGAAAACGCATCCTGGCATGCCAGAGGTGCTCTAAAGACATTAGCAAGTACTTTATGTAATGAAATGATGAGGACAACAATGAACATGCAAGTCGGTTTTCCCTTCTCATTCCAGAGGCATTCTTTCGGCTTCTTTTGGATCATTACATAGTTATTCTTCACCAGCTACATCTTCAAGTAAGGAAGTGTTACAAGCCACAATCTCACAAAAAATACACAATCCTTTCATTTATAGAGAAAATGGCACCTGAAAATCAGGAGAACATTGATCAAGCTTTCAGAGAGCAATAAATGCTTTTGGAACAGCATTGTCAATAACTGAAAATGTATATTGGCAGGGAGCTTTCAAATTATTATGATGGAAAGTGGGTGGTTACATATACTGTACAAAAAATGGTCACTGCCCCAGTCTATAACTGACCTTCACAGCAAGGAGCACATGGAAGGGCAACGCATGTCAAACAACAAAAGAGAAAAATTCCCAGCTCAGCTTGCCAACCAACCTGCAAACAAACCGAATTAACCTGTCTAACAGTATGCATTAAAAACAGGGGTTTAGTTAGCACACATTTTCAAATACATGCAGCTGCTACAGAGCCTCGCCAAGGCACCCCGATATTCTGTAATTCCTAACTCTACAAATTTTGAGAGTCCCCATAGTAGAGGAACATGTATTGAATGGATAGACCAAGGGCAGGTGGACCTGAGGGAGCCCACCCCTCCTTAACCACTTGCCTACAAGGCACTTATAACCCTTCCTGCCCAGGCCAATTTCCAGCTTTCAACGCTGTTGTGTCCAATTGCGCGGTCATGCAACACTGTACCCATACAAAATTTTTAGCATTTTTTTGTGACAGATAGAGCTTTATTTTGATTGTATTTAATCACC